TATGCAAATTTTGGCTAAGTCAAATGTCTATTTTGACTGGACTAAAATTAATTTATGTTGAAGAACAACAATACATCTGAACAATTACCAAATTATTAGGTAGAAGCAAGTGCTGCTGCGGAAGATTAAGCTTAATAGTCGTCCCTTTACTTTTCCTTGACTTCCGGGAGGAAACTATCCACTCTATGGGGATTCGGTGTTTCGCTCTCTGAGGAGATATTTCGATACAGCGTTACAATTGTTAACCCAAAACTAGTCTATGATGCATTGGACGACTCCCGGATTACACGAACCGATGGATAACCTCTTCCTCCTGATTTCACGACCGCTTCGCGGACTTCATCTAATCTCCTCTTTCGTCATTTATCTTTTCTGTTTATAGAACCTCACATAGTGTTTGTATTTGTCATCGTCACATTGAACCTTTGGAATTTTGTCTCAGCCCACATTATCGTGTATCGGTTGTGCCTAGCGGTTTCGTGTTTCGCAAAGTCGACCCAATATGTCTCGGAACAATAACAAATGCAATTGCGTACGATAATTCTGCGTTTTGAAAATTACGCAGATCCAATTCAGGGGAACTGAAAAATATAATTTTGGATTTTTTGTCATACATGCAAGTTTCATTTTTAAAGAAAGTAGTGTCGACGGTTGTGAGAGTTATGAAAACTCGACAACTTACCTTTCCTCCAATACACAAATTGACTCTTCTTCCAACGCATGAATTGAGCCTACAGCCAATAAAATAATAAAAGAAGTAAAAGATATCAAAAACAAAAAGTATGTCTCTATATTTCAATTATGCGTTGTCCAGCCATAGTAACAAGACATTCTTGTAGATCCCTTTTTTCAAACAGTGGTAAAGTTTCTTTTTTTTTATATTTAGTGTAAAAATCTAGGTAACTGAAAATTTAAAAAACTAAAGATGGTGTAGTCCAAGAATGCAATATACTAAATTTGCTTCAAATAGTTGAACTTATAAATCCACCGGTAGTAATAATTTTTCGTTTAATCTTGCGTATTTGGTCCTAACCTTACATATTCGGATTTGGTTTTAGTTTCGGTCTTGTTCGTTCGGTTTTAGTTTTAGACATGGTTTTCTTTGTTCGGTCTTGGTTTTGGTCTTGCTAGTATAAAGATAGCCTTCGCCTTTGTCTTATTCTTGCATTTTCGCAAGACCTAGATCAAGCCTACAAGACCAAGATCAATTTTACTCATCATTAATCGATTTTAATCCTTCAGTCAATTTTATGGTTTGTTCTACTGAATATTGAGATACTTTTTGTGGAAATAATTACTAACAACCGGTCAGTTTGAAGAATCTTCTTATAAAAATATTTCCAACACTTTTCGTCAGGCGAATGTGTAAACATTTGAACTACAATACCTGCATAAAGGAGAATACCAAAGTCATTTGTTGGTATCTGAGGAACTTTCAGAAAATACTACAAACGGCACAGTGAGCGCCATCTGTAGCACGATGCTACATTTTAGGATTACGTATTTTTCAACAAGGTCCACTTGTGTGGATATCTACTTGCTGAAAACGAATCCTGGCGTAGCCAACCTCAACGTGATAGGCACGTTAGCTTAATCGAATAAAATAATTCGAAGTGGTCTGTATTCTGTCGAAACTGCCAGACGCGGATC